GACAAGTGCGTTTTTTGCGAACAAGGGCTATGAACCAAGAATGAGCTTCGATACAGAGCAGCAAGCATATCACGAAGCAAAACAAGAGCACAAGAACATAGCTCAGACCATGGCAAAGGTTTGGGAGTTTCTGCAGGATGAAATCACGCTTTCGCAAGCAAAAATGGAACATTTCGCGAACAAGACAAGGAAACCTGCACCACGCTATCAAGTGGGAGACAGAGTATGGCTTTCAACTCGAAATATAAAGACACAGAGGCCATCAAAGAAGCTAGACCACAAGCAAGTGGGACCTTTTGAAATTCTAGAGCGAATTGGGCAAGTTGCATATCGGCTCAAACTTCCAAACAGCATGAAGATTCATCCAGTATTTCATGCCAATCTATTAAGACTTGACTCTAATGATGCAATCGAAGGGCAGCAACAGGAGCCAGAGCCTCCAGTCATTGTCAATGGCGAAGAGGAGTGGGAAGTGGACGAAATCCTCGACTCAAAAGTTATTCAAAAGAAGCTTTTCTACAAGGCAGCTTGGAAGAACTATCCACCGGATGAGACATGGTATACTGCAGAGAGCTTTGAAAATTCTCCAGAAGTTACCCAAGCATATCACAGAAAATACCCTCAGAAACCAAAATGAGAGCTGGAGACAATTGTTTTTTTTTTAAAATGGGATTTCTTGATCAGGAGATCAACTCTGGAGTAGGGGGGGGGTAGTGTTACGATATCAAGTGCGCCTTGCAGCTCGAGTGGGGGTTCAGGGGTGTGGGGAGCTTTCCAGGGTTGGAGCGAAGTTTTCAGTTGTGGAGTGAATTCTCAGAACTGGTCTCGCTAAAGAGAATTCACTCCACAACAACATAGCTGTATATAGATCGAGCCACTGCTCGAGTGCTCCTCTTCTCTTTCCTTTCTTCTCTAGATTGAGTTTAATTCATAATACCCAACTGGCGCCCTATGCCTTGGTGAACCGTGACACTGAGTTCCCAGACTCAACATTTGTTGCAACTTGTCTGAACCACTTCACTACATCACACGCCTGATTGCTGCATTGTGGAATAGTCTAAGATACAACCCTTTGGCTCTGTTTCCTAAGACAGTGTGTTGTCTTAGTAAATTCATCCCTTCCTTGGGTGGCTAGATTCTCACATCTGGTGCACCCACCATTACACCTTTCCTTACTTAGATCTTTGAGTTCGTCTACTGAATTGTCATCCCAGTCAATCTGTAGCTCTGAGTTTGATGGGTTTAATCGAATTGACCCAAGGAGAGCCTTCTGTGCAAGCTGAACAATATGTGCAAAGCATGGGATATGATGAATACGTCCATCATGGTATCTTGTTGGCTCAGACGATAACTCAGCTATCATATCGTTGATAATTGTCATCATTGAAGTATTAGTTACTTGCATTATCAGTTGTAATGCAATGAACTCTACCATCTAGGTGATATTGAGATATAACACGCTGAACAATAGTCGCAAGGTCTTTCCCAGTATGGGCTCCATCGAGATACTCAAATCCAATTAGAGCTTCACGGTATTCCCATTTCTCAGTGATGAATGTAGCCATAATACCCATGAAGGAGTGTCTTGTTCCAGGGCTAGACCAATTGTCAAGGGATAATGCACACCTCGACCCAGGAGCAAGACCATGAAGGGCAATCTGTTGTGCATTACCTACCATAACATCAAGGCGCCGCCGTAGGGTTGTTGGTGAAGGAAGTGGATATTTCTGGTTCTGCCATAGTGCCATCTCCCTCCATATAGGATTCTCAAGTGATCGGAATGATATGTTTAGGGATACCACAGTCTCAAGAACAAAACTGTAGAAAGCTTCCCTTGGATCATCTTCTGGTTGGCGCATAGTCTAAATAATAGTTAGGCATATTTTATAGTAATAAGTATAGTAATCATGCTTACTGGTAATGATCCTGAAAGGCGGAGCTTGGATTGATGTAGTGTAGAAGTGTGAGATGATTTCCTCAAACATCCAGCTGATCGAAGATGGGAACTCATTGTGCTTGTCCTGCACCCTTTACACTTGGGTGAGTATTCTAGAGCATTTCCGGCAAATAACAATTGGCTCTCCAGTTGATTTCCGAGCACCTTGGTCGAAGTCTCTCCATACATTTGAAGTCCTAGCTGTTGACCCCCAATTGATTTGCTTATCAGTACTTAGAAACAGATTTGGTTGCTCTTTATACCAGGACTGATGATGCCACCAGTCATTGAATAGTTCTGCTTTTGAAGGCATCCACTTTAGCACATTAAGACCTCAGATTGTAATTAGACCATCCCATTGGTTGCTTAGAGGCTGAGAGGACTCAACCTCAGGTGTTATGTTGCTTGATTGAGGATCATCAAGAGAAAATACATCACTATAGATATGTGTATGTATTGGTGAACTTAAAGATTGGCTATAAGACATAATATTTGAATATATCACGATTAACGTGCATGTATAACGAAAGAGCCAAACAAGCAAAAGTGCCAAAATCATGCGGTGACCAACCCCCCCAATTAAATGTTAAATTCCTCCACAACAAAACATGCGCCATAAAAATGATGAAAGCAAATTAGTGCTAGCTATCCAAGCTATGCAAAGCGACCCAAATTTGCGCCTTCGAGTTGCAGCTAGGATCTATTCCGTAGACCACCGCAAGCTACGTCACCGTTTACAAGGCGTACCTTCACGACGCGATATCCAAGCCAACTTACGGAAATTAAGTAACCTAGAGGAATCATGTTACGACGGAACAAGAAGGCTGGCCAACTACAGGACAGGAAGGAGGGAGGTCGCATGAGACCGGCCCTGGTACCTGGAGGGGCAGCGGGGAATAGTAGTTCCGAAAGTATCACGTGACGGACTCGCAGGATGATGAGAAGAGTCCTAAGAGTCCAGGACTCCGAGGACTCGAGTGAGTTCCCAGGAGTCCACTAGGCACGTGATGGACTCGCAGGATGATGAGAAGAGTCCTAAGAGTCCAGGACTCCGAGGACTCGAGTGAGTTCCCAAGAGTCCACTAGGCACGACGCCACTATATAAGTAGATAGTATTTCCTTAGATAGGAGCTTCGTGCTCAACTCAATACAGTATTTGTTATATACTAGTAACGTGTTACTTGAAGCCTTTGTGTCTGATCCCCTGCCTCCTCTGATAAGTAAACCTTTACGCAAGAGAACCTCTGTGTCTTCTATCATTTAGAAGTCAGCGTTACAAATCAGTTCTTGTTCAGTATATACTTGACTTAGCTGCTAAAGGGTTCCCTCCTCAGTTGTCTATTGTTGAAGATATGGCAAATCGACTATTGCAACATGCGACGCGCCACGCGTCGGGTCACGTTGGGCTTCAAACTTTGTTAAGCGCCATGTAGAGCTCCGGACACACTTCCAGCAAAAATATGACTACCAGAGGGCTAAGTGCGAAGATCCAGAAGTCATTCGTGGCTGGTTTGAGCTTGTATGGAGCACAATTCTAAAGTATGGCATCAACAATGCAGATATCTACAACTTTGATGAGACTGGGTTTATGATGGGCGTCATCTCAAGCGCAACGGTAGTAACGAGCTCAGACGGGCGGGCAAAGGCAAAAAAGGTGCAGCCTGGCAATCGGGAATGGGTTACAGTAATCCAAGGCGTTAGTTCTCAAGGTTGGGCAGTGCCGCCATTTGTCATTGTGGCAGGTAAAAACCACCTTGCATCTTGGTATGAGAATAGCGGATTTCCAGCAGATTGGGTAATCGCTGTTACTGCAAATGGCTGGACTACAAACGAGAGAGGTATGGATTGGATTCAGCATTTTGAGAAGCACACAAAGCCCCGGAGTGTTGGTGGTTATCGCTTGTTAGTCCTTGATGGTCATGAGAGCCACCACTCAGACAAGTTTGAGGAGTACTGCAAAGAACACAACATTATTATGCTTTGTATGCCTGCTCACTCTTCCCATATACTCCAACCACTTGATGTTGGCTGTTTTGGCCCATTAAAGAGAGCTTACGGTCGGCAAATTAAAGATATGATGCGGGCTCATATTATTCACATTACTAAGGATGACTTCTTTCCTGCCTTCCACGCTGCATTTAACATTGCAATGACAGAAAGCAATATTCAGGGAGGGTTCCGAGGTGCTGGGCTTCTTCCATTTAGCCCTGAGAGTGTAATATCTACACTTGACCTTAGGTTTAAGACGCCAACACCTCCAACCTCTTGCCCAAACACCGCTCAACCATGGGTTTCTCAGACACCAAATAACCCAACTGAAGCTGTATCACAGTCTACTTTCATTAAAAACTGAATTGCGCATCATCAAAATAGCTCTCCAACCTCAATCTATGCAGCTGTTGACCAGTTTACAAAGGGTGCATCGCAAATAATGCACCAATTAGCATTGTTAAAAGCAGAGAACCAAAACCTGCGACAGGCAAATGAAGTGCTAAGCAAGCGCCGGAGAGCTAAAAAAACACGACTACAGCAAGGAGGATCACTTAGTCAACAGGTAGCACAGGAGCTACAGGACGAGAGGGACGTTGTGCAGCAAGTAGAGCAAGAAATAAGGGCAAGTAGTGGTCGGAAGCCAAGGGAAGAAACCCATGCACGTCGCTGTGGCAAGTGTGGTGAGACTGGACACAATGCGCGCACTTGTCAGATTGTAATAGACAGGTCTGAGGAAGAGGACTCCGAGTAGTTTTAATTATTTATATTGTTGTGGTGGATTTATCGCAATTCTTATGGGGTAGTCGCGATATTTTGGCTCTTTCGCTTGTTTGGCACTTTCGTTATACATGCACGTTATTCCCCCCTTAATATTAAAGTAATGGTGTATTATAAATTAATATAATCGAAGTAATAGCATCATACTACAGTATTAACTATATTAAAGTTTATATGATAGGTTAGAACAGTAGTAAATGGTCGTGGTGCGGTAGAAACGTAGAGTTGAGAGGCATACTCTGTCATCGTGATTTTGGAAATTTCGCTCAGCTTCGCAGCTATTTACCATACAAATACCGGTAGTAGCGAAAGGTGCAGAACTGGCTACAATCACGATGAGAATCGTGATTTTGGACCGTCATCGTAGTAGCCAATAGTGGTGTTAAATTACGTGGTGGCCCCATAACTTTATGGGAGGGCGTCGATGGTACCGAAACCGCACCGAAGCCTACAGTAATACAGCACCTACAACCAGAACACAGGCTTCTACAGGCTTCTACCGTTCACCCTAGCACTTGTTTTATATCGCTACGTTGGTAGGGTACGGTAATACAGCATATAAGAGACTATTTACAGCTTTTTACGAAGGTTGAGCTATATACGGTCGCTGCTACTAAGCAGAATCGCTGAAGCCACGGTTGAGGTGGCACTGACGTTGCGACTGTTGGGGGCTACGGCCTAATTCGGAATGGTGGGTGCAGGGGTGGTTAGGGCCTGAGGCAGCGAAAATATCCCTCATCGTGATTCCGGGGTGGTGGAGGTTATATTCGTAGCTCTTCGGCCGACTTGCCGAACAAGAAACCGTCCCCAACCCCACACTCCTCACGGGTATAACTTAAGAACAAGCGACATTTGCGAATTCTACTCACGGCCTGCCTTTTCTCCTCTCTCAACAATTTTGTCACAGGCAACCCCTGCTTCTCAACTCACCATGTCCGACTCAGCAAGCAAGTTCACGTCGTCCGCCTTCATCAATGGCATTTATATTCCGTCTGGCCTTCTGATCTTCGGCTGCTTCATCGTCAAGAGCGAATGGCTCCCATATGTGATTGCTCTTTCAGCAGCTCTTGCAGGATGGAAGATCTTCTGCAGCTGTACGTCCACAACCCCGTTCCCACAACTTGAAGTCTTTTGAGGTAAATGGTCACTGACATCCTGCGCAGATCCTAAGGCAGTCCTGAGGCCCGACGCCCTCCAAGAATTCGAGCTGAAGGAGAAGACCATCATTTCCCACAATGTCGCAATGTGAGTGATCTCGTCTCCGCGCCCTTTTGAGAAACCCCACTGACAACCACCCTCCCACAGCTACCGCTTCAAGCTCCCAACTTCCAACTCGATCCTCGGCCTCCCAATCGGCCAACACATCTCCATCTCCGCAAATCTCCCTACCACGACCCCCGAGGGCGAGAGCATCCGCAAGGACTTCCTCCGCTCCTACACCCCCATCTCCGGTGACCACCAGCCCGGCTACTTCGACCTGCTCATCAAGTCCTACCCCACCGGCAATATCTCCAAGTACATGGCCTCCCTCATCGTCGGACAGACCATCAAGGTTAAGGGCCCCAAGGGCGCCATGGTCTACACCCCCAACATGGTGCGCCACTTCGGCATGATCGCAGGCGGCACCGGTATCACCCCCATGCTCCAGGTCATCCGCGCCGTCATTCGCGGCCGCGCTGCTGGAGATACCACTGAGATGGACCTGCTCTTCGCCAACGTCAACGTGGAGGATATCCTGCTCAAGGAGGACCTCGATGCGCTCGCCGCGGCTGACAAGGGATTCCGCGTGCACTACGTCCTCAACAACCCACCTGAGGGATGGACTGGCGGCGTCGGCTTCGTCACCCCTGAGATGATTGCTAAGTTCCTGCCCAAGGCGGCTCCGGATGTGAAGGTCTTGCTCTGCGGACCACCACCGATGATTAGCGCGATGAAGAAGGCCACTGAGGGTCTGGGATTCACTAAGGCGAAGCCGGTTAGCAAGCTTGAGGACCAGGTCTTTGCGTTTTAGATGGGTGGTGGGTGATGGAATGGTGATGGACGTTGATAGATGGATAGATAAGACGAGTTGATCTGAGGCTTTGTAAAAGGACGGTTGGTTTACAGCGGGTGGGAGAGTGGATTAGATTAGATGAGTATGTGATATTTCAAATCCAGTCTCGCTTTGTTCCAAATCGACATTGTATAAATCGGTTCTATTCGTCCTGAGATCTCTACTGTGTATCTCCTCCATGCTGTGAACGGTACCTGAATCAGCAGGCCCGATCTGATATATACTCCCTTCCCATACAAGCCTTTATTCCCAAATGCAAGTTATGCTCCTTGTAATATCCTGGTATCCTGGTATCCCTCATCATCCTTCTCCAAACCCCTTCCCAACCCCAATCTATAGCACTGCCTGCATCGCCAGGCCGAGAGCCCCAACCATGATCACCAAATTCACCGTCGACGACCTCCCCCCCGAGACATCCGTCGAACTCCCCGTCGAATTACTCGCCGCAGCCCCAACCGGAATATCAACCGTCACACCCGCACTCTTACACGCATTCGTCGCAAGCGTGACCACCTTATTAAAATCACCCTTCGAGCACGCCGCCTCCACTTTCTTCGTCAAGGAACTAATGAAAGTCTGGTCCTTGCAGAGACACTGCGCGTCACTATTACAGTTTTTCTCCCCCGCGGCGATGGATAAAGGTCCTAACTGGGAAGAAGTTAGCAGATGCCGCGCCAGTGGAAGCTAGCAGAGGGGAGGACGTACAGCACATAATGGAATGTCTGTGGCGAGAGAATTAAGGGATTGGGTGAGGGAGAGGGCGGGAAGGGCGGCGATGACGACGAGGTTTGAGATGCGCATTTTGGTAGCCGAAATGGTGAGAGAGTGAATAAGATGTATGGAAAAGGTATCCAGGAACGAGTGACGGTGATTACGGCGAAGGGATCTAATTAAGGCCTACTGCTAGCTTTTGATGCTTTCGGTAGAGCAACGATATGTGGAGAATTTGCCGATCGTGCTCTGGTGCAGATCCGTTTATTCTTGGCTTATGATGTTTTCCTATCTTCACTCTGCTTTGGTCCAGGGGGTTCGTTTGTTCAGGCTTGTGATGTTTTCTTATATTACAATCACCCTCGTCACTTCCTTCCACGTCGTCTTATAGACCCCAACCCAACATCCACAAAGCTACGGTTTCTATTTTGAAACGCACTGCGCAGAAGATCTTAGCTGCGGATACCTACGTCAGAACCAACCGCGCCTCGGGGCAAGACCATCCGCCATTGTGAAACGGACAACTTGCCAGTTGGCAACCTCGTATCCGTCAGAAAGGACAACGGGCTTTGGAATGTTGATCAATCCTTTGGCATGTACAGAGGCACATAGAGACGCAAGAGAGTAAGATCACACGAGGCGAAGGTGACGCGTCCGTCCATGTAAGTAGGGACCACCTAGGGTCCTATAAGCTCGCGTAGAGCCGCTTGGCGGGGGAACACCCGCAGGAACGAGAAATCGTGCATAGTGATAATTTCTCTGGTGTGTCGTAGGAGCAATTGGTGATGAGGTGGGGCTGTGCAGGAATGGCGATCTGCGGGGCAGGGCTCTGCACGTTGATATAGGGCTCTTGGCGCGATATGAGACACGGTGTGGGAAGTTTTACTGTATTGGAGTCCTGAGAGTTAAATGTGGATGGTAAAAGTAAGACGACGTGGAGGTGCGACATGGGCTGTGCATGTGAAGCTGGTGTGAGAGGGTTGTAGGGGAATACGCAAACTTATTTGGGAAGTCGGGGATTGCTTTGGTGGCAGGGGATTTATACCTATGTGGTGACATGTCGGCTCCCACGAACCCATTCATATTCAGTAGACTATCTTCGGATGAGAAGGTTTGATACTCCCTTACTTATTTATAATGGGCGATGTGATGAGGGAGGCCACTGGCTTAAAAAATGGCACGATGAAAGCCGTCAATTTTAGAGCCTCATAAATCAAACTGCTCCTACAACACATAAAATAGCTTGCCATGAGTGGCTGCTGTGAAAAGAGACGCCAGCTCCCCCGCCAACCTTCAGTTCAGTTTCTTTGGAGGTATGACTCTCTGTAAAATCCGCAAAAATAGTATCATCCCTCTCTTTCATAACAGCCAGAGCAGCGCCGCACCGTCCAAATAATACCGTGAAGATCGAGGCTTTCCCAACCAGCGCCGCAAATGTCGTATCCGGCTTCGCGCAGCTATACATATACAATGCCCAGGTGAGCAAGCTGGCGCCGGCAAAGTAGGTATCGTACTGTAGAAGGCTGAGTATGCCACGCTCAAATGCTTCCAATTTCTCATTTGAGAATGGCGAGATCAGCTGGAAAACGAGAAGAGGATGTAGCTGATCGACAGTTGAGGGAGAGTAGGACTGAATGACAGCGTAGCACAGAACGACAACTAGAATTAGAGAATGAGTAAATCCTGTCACCACAAGGACGAAATTGTGCGTATAGCGGAGTGCTGTGGCGGCCCTTCTCTGTGGAGACTCTCCAGTACCCAGGAGCCGATTGGTTATATTATCGGATACCAGTCTCATTAGAATAAACCGCGAGACAGCTGTCATATAGCAAAGAACTGCCACGCGATGAGAAACCCCTGGCGATTGCGATGCGATACGACCTCTGGGGGCGGGAGGCAGATCACGAATGAAGGGATGATGTAGCCGAGGGTCAACGATACTGGAAGTAGCACTATGCGCTTTGCATTGGCGGATATTGCGTTTGCATCGACCTGTCCTTTCGCTCGTCCCAGAGACGAGAAGAGCACGTGGATGAGATTGTGAATTGGTTGCACAAGCCCCGAATGGAATAAACCCACGAAGTTGCCCAGATTGTTGGACTGCAATACCGTGTTAGATTTCCAGCTAGGAAAACATACAAGCCAATGGCGCCCCGGGCATTCCCCTTACGCTCACCCTCAATCAGGACTAAGGCCAGGCATGACAGCTGGCACCCATATAGTCACCAAAAAGTGATAGCTCCGGAATTGCCCCCGTGACAACCGGCCAAAAGAATGGTATCAGGCTGGTAAGTGTTGCACCTAGGGGCCTAAAGTGCGAGTACACCGTGCGTAGGGCAGCGAGCCCACCGAGAAGCAGATGCGGGTACTTTTTGGGAGATAGATCAATGAGGTCGAAAGTGCCGACCCGGAAGTGAAGCATGATAATGCATGGTATTAAGGCGACGGTGATTAGCCCAAGGAGGACAATCGTGATGAGCCATGAGACTGGCATGTTTGCTGTTGGGTGTGTGAATATGGTTTTGATAGTCCTGGTGTTGGAGTTCCATGTTGAAGTTCGCGTCTCACCCCCACGTGATTTGTGATGCCATGGTGTCGCCGATCATCTATGGATATATTTCCCGCCCCAGAGTCCTGTCAAAAGTAGCTACTCTGGAAGTATCACCTTTCCAGCCAAATTCAAATCTCCCTTGCTGCTTCTTTTCATTAACATAGTCTAACGCTGTGCGTTCAACAGAATCCCAGTCCGAGATGTCTCCCCGACTTATTACCCCAGCTTGCTCAAGTCGGAACAAAGCATCCTTGACCCAGGAAACGCAGTTAAAATCTTCCTTGCTGCCTTGCCCAACTGGAACAGCTTCAAGCAGGGAGTCTACCAGATCTATGCGGCTCACATCTCCCAGAAGGATCCTCACGACAATCCGGGGATCGGAGTCTGGGTCTACCTTGACTGCCTCGTAAACCCAAGGTATTGAGACAGTGCCCTCAGTCACCGTGATAATATTTTTGCAGTGATACTTCATAGTGCGAATTTCTGGGCTGGAGGCGCCTTCAGGAGAAGAGATGTGGAGAGCGTAGTGGTATGTGTTGGGATACTTCAGACGCGCATAGAGAGCAAAATACAACTGTGGAGTGGCAGTGCTAGGCACACTCTGCAAACAGTCTCAGTAGAGAAGTATAGTATGGGTATGAGTAGATGCTGGAAGAACCGCTCCGTTGACTTACAGGTTTGCTTGACCATTTTCTCTTGAGGTTCTTGATAAACATGGTGGCTGATTCCAGAGAGTGAGGGGGGTTGTGGATGTTACTTTTTGGCATGTAGTTCTTGGTTTGTAGCAGGAAAATGCGAGGTAAACCAGTGATTATAACCTACGGGCGTCGCCGACGTTAGGTTGTAACTTGAGGGTCGAACATGGCGGACGTTAGTTTTGTGAGTGGGCGCTACGGAACGGGCCGACATATTCTAGAGAGGCGGTATGTACATACTTGAGCACGCTAAAAGTTCGAACTGGTAAGTGCGTGACTTTTATGGCATAACATTCGCCTTGTATAATAGAGTCACTTTATTCGTATCTACTTCAAGACTGACATACTTTGATTAGCAATAAAGAATTTAACATACGAAGCTCACAATCATGGGCGATTCCTGCTATTGTTTCATAATTTGAGTGGAGATGCATTAGTCCCTTGCTAGAAATTGGACATACATTTTCTCGGGCATCAAGAACCAGCCCCCAACAGTTCTTAATCTACCCATTCACGATCCCACGAGTTAACGATGCAGAAATCATGATCAATTTGGACCTTTTCGATGACGGAAGAAAGATCGCCATTTGGCTCGTTTTCCGACCACAAGCTTGGACGGTCTGCCTGTTGAACCCGCCGGCCTCACGCTCTGTGGATTATGAAAAACATCGCCGGGATCGACAACGGCCTTAATCTGCTCCAATTTAGGAAGATTCGTACGCCAATACTGTTGCGGTCCATTCGGGAGTTCCGGGTCCACATAACCTGCATACGATCCAAGGTCTTCTACTCCTGGCACTCCATTCTTGATCGTTGTATTGATGCCAGCAATAAAGTCCTTGGTCGTTTTTGAAACCTTAACCAAGCTAATCCCATATGACTCGAAGTAAAACAGTGCATCCCGGTGGGCGTAAGAAGTCGCGTCCTGAGCAATATCATTCACAGCCCCACCGGTCAAGCTAAAGACGAGGAACCAAAGCAGTGTTCCCTTCGCAACTTCGTCCAGATACGCGAAGAGGTTATCAATGACCTCGTCCGAGATCAAAGTAGCGCCGTTGAAAGTCAGGGTCTTGTTATAGAAATGAGAGGGCAGTCCGCCTGCAAAAAGCAACGCAGCATCTTCAGCCCAATGGCCCAGGAGTCCTAGCCAGTCTTGAAACACAATTGTTTTGGCAACTGAGTCTCCCCCGAGTTTACTTTTCATATCGAAAGCATCATATTCAGCTTTAGAGCCAAAATACGTCCCAGAAATAATCATCCCGATCCCAGTAATGGCGACTTTGGTAGCGAACTTGCGTGTAAGTCCTGGATCGGCAATCAAGCTCTGCCATCTCTTAAACACTGCCGCTTTAGACGCATACGAGCCCACCGTGAATGAGTACTCGAACTCAACAACTTCACCAGGCTCTGGCTCTGTGCGAAGCTTAAATTCAGTCACGACGCCAAAACTCGCACCCGCTCCTTTCACTGCCCAGAAAATATCAGGATTTTGTGTAGCCGAGCAGCGCCTAATCGTTGAATCTGCAAGTACGATCTCGACTTCCTCAATATGGTCAAGAGCAGACCCCCAGAGACGGGAGCTTGGTCCCAAGCCTCCAACTGCGAAGTTGTTAGAATCAAGGAAAGAAAGGCTTTGAACTCTGAGAAATGGGAAGAGTGTGGTTGAAGATCAGGTACATACTTGTTGCGTGTCCACCGATTCCGACTTGTGGACATATGCCGTGCGCCATGGCACGGTTGCCAGCTTCGTGCATACGTTTTGTGAGGTCGCCGAGCAGAGTGCCTGCTCCTACTGTGGCCTGCCAGGTTGTACGATCCATGGAAAACTGCTGGAAATTTCTCAAGTCGATAACAACTGCACCGCTTACTCCACCAAGGGCTACATGGTTTTAGTACTTTGACATCCTATTTGGGAAGAGGAGGGTCATACAGTAATTGCCATAGCTATGGCCACCGCTTCGAGCCTGGACTTTGAGATTCGTTTCCACCGCGCATTTGATGATTGCCGCAACTTGAGCAGTGGTCTTCGGGTATGTTATAGCGGCCGGCGTGATTGGTATTGAGAGATTATAGGGTTTGACATCACTGTTTTGATAGAAAGACTTCTCAGGGAACGCGTAAAGGCTATCGTCACCACCAAGGGCTGCTTTGATTGATTTCTCTAGAGCACTCTGTGATGCGCCCATTCTGCCTACTGCCTTTAGCTTATTTGAGGGCATGCAACGACTGGGGATTGTGGAATAGAGTCTTGGCCAAGGGGTTGGTTGAGTATTTATTCGCACATAATTTTACTGAAGTAGCACGTAAGATACTATTCACAGCATGTTCGTGCGTAGTCAGGTGGCTTTGTGAAACCATTCAAACCATTAAAGTTGATTCACGAGTCCTCGCAGCGAGTAATCCAATGCAGAATTACTCACTGCGAGGACTCGTGATCAAAATTAAGGTCTGTTGACAGACTCAGCTGCGCCACCAGACCTGATGTCTCATATCACAACCATATGGCATGTGTCACCACCGTAGTTAAAGGACAGTAGACAAGTTCATCTAGGCTGCGCACTACTCGCTCAATACTCGGCTCACTCGCTCAGTGGGTTACTCAGCTGGGTGAGTAGCTGAACCTTTTACTCGACTCGGTGAGTGAGGTCAATACTCAGTTACTCTGTAAAAACCCGGTGAGTACTCGGCTATCACGTGTAAGATTTATGCATCATGTGAACAGTCCCTCATACGATTAATACTGTTTTATGGTTAAGTTAAAGTATTACATCTATTAGCATCACTCTCGCCATCTCTAGTAAGCTGTGAGAACGAATCATGTATATTCCTCTATCTAAGTACCATGATTATCAGAAGATTATTAGAACGCTATTATCTATTATATATGCTTAAGAACATCCCTCCACCTTGCTTGATGAGGCCGGCCAGACCTACTAATACCTAAAGTATTTATAGGGTCTTGATGAGGATCCTCGACTGAGCGGAACGAGCTATGAGTCAAGATAACTGTGTATAGAACTTGTTCATAAAATGTCTCTTGTGTGAGAATATGATCTTATTATAGGTATTAACCTACATAATTCTGGTAATAATCTGGTAATCCTTACTTGTTGAGGTTGCATTTGATTGATTCGCATTTGATAGAGACTATCCTTCCCATCTGTGACTTCTTTTTGCAAATGTCTGATGCAAGATGTGTTGCCATAGACTTTGGGCCAGCAGACTTGATTGCAGGATGCGTAAGGGCCTTCGAACAATAAGTACAAATAACACATGGTTCTCCAGAAAGCCGGTCTGCTCCTTGGTGATAACTTCTCCAGTATTGAGAACTCCAGTTGGTTGAATCCCATGCAATCTTCATAAGGAGTTTTGTAGTATGATCTGAGTGTTGTTCATACCATCGTGATAGCTTCCACCACTCAATGAATATATCGTGTGTATCCTTAGTCCATTTGACGAATTGGTTTAACTTGCCAATATATTCAAGGCCTGCAGGGACTTTGTAAGGATGCCTGTCCCTCAGTGATGGAAAGGATCTGAGTCGGGCAGGTTACGGTCACATGATAAGAGTTAAGGCAGGTTAGCTGAGTCAGACCCGTTTCGGGTACTTAAGGAGATTGACCCAACGGGGGTTCCTCTCTTCATCTTTTTTGTATCCTTCGTAGTAGACCTATAGGATAGCATCCGTTTAGCCTCTGACTCGCACTCTCATATGCTATTACTGTGAGCTGGGTGCCCTGTGTCCTTACAGACTTAATTTAATGAGGATAGTCGTTGAGAAGACGGAAAAGAGTCTGAGAATACTGTCAGAATCAAACAACTCTGAGTATTGAGATGGCATTTGGCAAATTGCTCGATTATCAGAAGGTTACCAGAAGTCTGGCTACGATGAAGTACTTAAATACCTGGTTTTCCAACGCGAAAGGTACTCCAGCGCTATAACTTTAGCAACTCAAGTTCTCCTCTACTCTAGCTCCAGGAACAACATATCCTGTGCAGCTGATACCTTAGCCCACTTTTCCTTATCAAACTTCTTAGAGTAGACAAGTAAGAACGCCTCTTTGAAGCTAGAACTATGAGTGGATATTTGCAACCATCCATTGTCGACAAAATTGTAAGACTTTGGGTACCACTGCACAGGTCCTGGTAATTAGGCCCACTTTCCAAACTGCCTGCTCGTACAAACAGAAATATTTATGTGGTGGGATAACCTCATGAAAAGTGCTATAATAAACAATTAGTATTGCCAGAAGATTGCTAGGATGATCAGAGACGTACCCTTCCTCTACATCAACCCACGGCATATACTCAAAGAGACGCTCAGGCTTCTTTCTCAGCTTTCCAGCCTTTCTCGTATATGAGTGGATACAGCTATCCCAGAAATGTTGCCACTTGCGGAAATTGGACTCTTCATGGGCCTATCAACTATTAGTATCACCAGAAGATTACCAGATTATGAGGTAGCATACATCAATGTGCGCTTGAGTTAAGAGAGCCTGGGTGCTAGTGATCTCTTCATCGGAAAGCTCATCCGGTAGAACAGCCTCGTCATTTAAAATATCTCGCGCTGTAACATAAGCTCCAACTCCAAATCGTCTTCAACCTCAGTATCCTCCCATTCGCTGTTATGATTGTCATCGATTGGAATACTTGAGATACCCTCAAATGCAGCAAGCTCAGACAGAAGTTGTTTGGGCGGAGTAGATGGTGGGGCTTGTGGAGAAGAAGAGGCGCTAATATTCTTGACTTTCTGATTCGCAATGCAAGATGCATGGGTACCCTTCTCAGTCCTGTTTATAGTTAGATTGAGGCTACCAGAGATTACCAGTAGGAACTTACCGAACACGAATACGCTCAACCTTCAATTCATTCTGTAGACATGTCTTGTCTTCAGTAGAGGCAGCGATATACTTTGCAGACTTATATAACTTCTTTAAGTAGTAGCTCAGATCAGCATGGTCAGCCTTGAGTGCTAAGTGAACAGCCTTCTCATATTCAGTAAGGTTGGAGACGCGGTGGTGAGCTTTGATAGTATTCACATTAGTGGAGAGTTCTTCAGGTGCCTTGCGTTTCGCCATACTAAACACGTGATTAGCAGAAGATCGCCAGAAGTTCTGGCTATAGAATCAAGATAATAAACTTACTTGAAGTCCTAGTGAAGAGGTGAAGGCGCAAAAGGGAAGAAGAATGTGTAGATTGGAGGGAGTAACCAAGGAAGGTGGTTCTAAGGTCGTGGTTATTTTAAAGTTGCAAATAAAAATATTCGTGAAGGAATATTCACCTACAAAGAATTATTGTTCCAAAAGCAACACCACAACATGCACCTTCATATAAAACACATACCTTTCAACCTCTACCTCTTTTCTATACTCTTCTTCTGCAATATTCTTCCTACAAACTCACTGTAAGTACACATATCTTTTGATCTACTTCTTTGTCTTGTGTTTACTTCACTAACTCACCTTGATATTAGCAAATGGCTCGTACCAAGCAAACTGCTAGGAGATCAACTAGTGGCACAGCACCAAGGATGCCACTTGGATTACGAGCTGGCTCTGGGCTTGGTGGAAAGGGAAAGGAAAAGGCCGTGGGCACAGCAAGAAAAGCTCCAGTTCGCTCATCTCAAGCTAGCAACAATCATGCTCAGAAGGCCACGCGCCGCGCAAAGTCTGGTAAGAGGATTACCAGAGGATTACCAGAGGATTACCAGAGGATTACCAGAACTCTCTAATAAACATATAGGCACCAAGGCTCTCCGCGATATCAGAAGACAGCAACTCAATACTAGCCTAATTATCCCAAAGCTCCCATTCCAACGTCTTGTTAGGGAAATTGCAGAAGACTTCAAGTCCAATCTTCGCTTCCAGCAATCTGCTATCCTAGCTCTTCAGGAAGCTGCTGAATGCTTCCTCATTCGAGAATTTGAGAGTATGATGTTTAAACATAGTGATAGGGACATACTAACAGTTATAGTGATAAACCTTCTCGCTATTTATGCGAAGAGAGTGACAATTCAGGCAAAGGATATGATATTGGTTCGGCGTTTGCGGGATATGATGTTTTAATCATGGAGCTGTGGGCTTAATCGATGGAAATGTGTCTCACCCAGGAATTGAGTTCTGGCAACCTTCTGGTAACCTGGTACCTAAAGGCCAAAGGTTATAGTGTGGAATAGGACATCAACAATATGGGAATGGAGTTATGGAGTTATGGAGTTATGGAGTTATGGCGTCTTGATCAATGAAGTCGCGCCCCGTTTTTAACATAAGTAATGGCTAATCAAACACGTGATATAACTGAGTTGCCAAGACCCATACTAGGTACTCAGCAAGTGAGTAATCCTCATTCAACAATACTCGGGACATGAGTGAGTAACTCAGCTGGGTGAGTAAAAATTCTACTACTCGACTCGTGAGTACCCAGTGCGCAGCCTAAGTTCATCCCTCTGGTGTATCCGATCCGATACTCTTGTTGAATTAAGGTGTGGACGAGATGACAAGGTGCCGTTGTACCAAGAAGGCGGGACAACGAGATCCCTACTAGACCCCGTGCCGATTGAGATTAGCGGCAGGTTTATCACCAAGTCGAGAGGCGGCGCATCCATCATCCACCCAATATAGTTCGAGGGCGCACTGCGGAGTACAGGATCTTCTACGTTACAACAAGTTCTTATAGTACCGCCCATCCGTCTCACGCTTCCATATGATCCCGTGGTACCGAAGATTAAGTAGTGGTGGATTCTTGAGAAGTGCTTGGAAATCTCTAATATCTTAATACTAACCCGTAAAATACACAATACTCTAACTAATGCATTAAATAACAAGATTTATCTCTAGCAATCCATTCGTACTATATATTTCGTTCTTCATCAATTCGCTACCTGAACTGCGACCCCTCCGCACCAAGAGCCTGGTACGTCTTCCTTCCTTTAAAAAGCGCCAAAATACAAGTTCCGATTGCTAGGATCTCAACGGCCGCAACACCCACAGCGATGTACCATGCTACTCTCTGCAGATACCCAGTTAGCAAATCAAGTCCGTCACATATGTGAATGCCAATGCCCCGAAGAGCATATAAATGATTGAAAACTAACCATTTGTAGGCACAGTGGGGCCATATCGACACCTTTCGTCTTGAAACTAGTCTGATATGTACAGGTCCACGACCATAGGTCGAAGTATGTCCTCTTCTTCGAATCCCAGAGCTTGAAGTATGTCGTGGCCGCGATCCAAAGCGTAGCTGCCGTGATAGACACACATAGCGTTGTAATAGCTCCAATCTTTGTGAGTCGGCGTACCTGCGTTGCGTCAGTTTTGGTACCCTTCCTCTGTCGCATCTCTCGACGCTTCTCAAAGATGTAAGCGGCGGCCACTCACGCTCTTGGTAAAACTAGCAATTACCAACCCTAAGCTCCCTATTGATGCAATAGAAGCAGCCCCCAACAACAGATTGCTTGGAACAAAATTCGTGTCGAGTGGCCACACGTGATATTTCAAGCCTGTCCGGGGATTGACAGCTATGAGGTCTTTTGTCTGTGCATGTCGCACCATAACGGAGGCTACCAGACCGACAACGCCGAGGCTCAGCACGAGCGAGAGGATGCGCAGACAGAGCCGTGCGATGTAGATTGGCCGCCCGTAAGTTGGCTGGTCCGAAGAGCTTTTCTCATTCGCCATGAAGCCTTTGTTGGCGGACATGAAAGTGTTGCGGGCTTGTTGAAGATCGGGAGAGATGGATATCGGTGGGACGGGGCCGGCTTGTGACCGGTCGCCGACTAGGTGCTTGTCATCTCGATTCTCTTCCGAATCGTTGATGTAGGTGGCTGGATTGTAGTGAGTGGAATCGCCCAACATATTGGCTTGGTTGCTGAGGGGTGAGTGAGAGTGAGAGTTTATAAGTCGCCAGTGAAAATCCCAGACGATGCAAAAATGAAACAAAGCAATTGTTGATGGAAGACGGGCACTATTCAAGAAATCAATGCATATTTCGCTGATTCGGAATGCAGAGCGTCTATATTATATAGAATATCACGTAAGCCTTGTTGTATGTCAATGGCAGGGGAAGCTGGGGTTTCGCGCTTAATTTAGCTAGTCGACATCAAGTTTGCGGGATCCGAGCACTTCAGTCACACTAATAATAGGGCCTCACTGCGCTTAACCCCTGCCAAACCCAATGAACTGGCGCTCTTGGCCCCCTCTGACAGACGTTGGATCGAACCAGAATGCTTCTGCTTCGCCCCTGCGCGGAAACCTCGTTCCCGAAGAATGATGACATTTCCCATTCCGGCAATTTTGATCACTATTCGTCCTTTTAGCAATTTGCTGGCAAGGCATGTCAGCTTCCTGTGCCTGGGGCAGTACGTAAATTTGACTGCGATTGCTGGCAATTGAAGTATCGGAATGTCAAATGTCTGAAATCCTCGATTTGAACTCCTGTTCACTTCGTATGCTCTATCCATACAAAGGATGGTAGCGATCTTACTTATTTTTGTCGTAAGATTTTATGTGAAGACTTGAACACAACGTTCAGTCTAAATTGGCTAATTCCAAGACAACATCGTCAATGGAATCCTGAAAGTCCTGTGGCATAAGGTTCTTGCCATCTTTGAGCTGCGTTTGAAGGGCTTGGGATAATCCAGATAGTGCGACTGCAGTAGGCCGATATCGCCTCCGCATCCCTGGAGAAGCTTTATGCAGCAATGCAGCTGCTAATTGGATCATGGCAATTTTAAGCTCCATGGCCCATGGCGCGATCAGCTTGGGGCCTGGTTTCATTGACGCTGCTGTTTCGGCAATTCTCATCCAATGCTCATGAGGTTCCGTAACAGCCGTGTCATCGACGACGGCAAGTAAAACTCGAATTATCTCAATTCCTCGAGAAGCTTCGGAATTGACGTTGCCTGCAGGCTCAGCTGTAGTATATCTCACGATGGACTCGAGATCTTCTTTCAGGACTGCCCAAGCATCGTGGGACAAGAACCCATCGATCCCACCTTCTGTGGTCAAGGTCGCCTCTAGAGCCGTTAAAATCGGATACTTGAAATCCAATGACTTGGAGGACGGAGTCTTGTATAGTTCTATGAACATATCCGTCAAACCTGCGCTCTCGCTGCGCATGTTCTCATTTTCATCCTCACGCAGCCAAATGGCAAGCGTTCGAATGCTTGCAAGAATCAGTGGATCATCTGTGATGTTGTCCTTCATCGAGGCCCAAGTTAGAGTGAGACGAGTGCCTTCAGATGTTGCTGACGTTCCAGTCCTAGCTTCTGGATGGAGACCGGAGACTCCAGCAACCGATGCATCCCACCGGTCTCTCATATACTCTATTGCTAACGACATCGTTTCTGCAATGTCCTTTCGAAGCTTCAACAGAAGATCTGGAGATGTGGTTAGGGTAGAGGAGCCATTTTCTTCATCAATATCATCAAGACTTCGCACAAGGAAGCCTATGAAGCCAGAAATTACATCGAAACCTCCGGCGAGCCTTCGTGCCGTCGACGGATAGTCCGAGCTGTTTAATTTAGATAGGAGAGTCGGAAAGGAAGACCGAATGTCGATAAGTATTAAATTAACGAGGAGGTAAGAGAACGGCTTGGCGGTTGCATCACGCTGCGTATCATCCCGAAATAGACGACCAGGGCAGGACTGTTGAAATACTTGAAGCAGTGTAGCAGCTGCTTCTATATAAGCTGCCCTCCCTGTAGCAGTGGGGCGACTTGTGACAAGCTTTTTTAACAGAATAATCAGCCCCTCAAGCCATGACGGATCCGTACGGAGAACCTGATAACGTGTCAGCAACTACAGTGTTTGACCATAGAACATAGTTACCAACCTCGGGCGGTACTTTTGAAAAAGTGTCGGCAGTAAACGCCAACAATGTCACTGCATCAGTATCTTTGAATGCAACAATAAGCTTTGGCATGATGTCGTCAATACTAGATGACACTATATTTTGGTTTGATTTGGCGGTGGAAGCGTTGGACCAGGACAGCCCAATAACATCAAGAACAAGCGGTTGTTGCGTAGCTAGCTCTGTTAATGGGGTCACATCTTTAACCTGAAGAATCTGAGAAGCACCAATAGTGCAACTGGCCAGCGTTAAGAGAGTTTGCAAGACCAAAACTGTGCTTTCCGGAGAGCTTTGAAATTGTCAGTCACGTGTGTACAAATAGAGGGTTTTTGACACTAACCTCTGTCCAAGACAATTGACAAGGGGATCTATCCTCCCAATGAATCGTTTGTCTTCCCGAGACTCTTCAGGCAGAATAATAGCAAAGGTATGTAATACCCCGACCGCTATATCGATCATATTCCTCGCTTCATCAGCCGTGACATGATCACTTTTCGCAACCCGGAGAAGCCTGTCAAGGAATTTTGGCGATATCGACTCCCATATAGAGTTGACTTGGACGACATCTTCTCGTAACTGAGCCTGGGTATCTAAAACGGATTTGAGGAGGGCGAGGCCGACGAACCTGGACGTATCGTCTTTAGCCTTCAGAAATCCTCGGATCTGGTCTAATCCAGCAGAGGGGTCCTGGGTAGTCACAGACGGACCATCTCCAGTTGAAGAGCGATTTTCGTCCATATTTATCAAATCATTGCATGATATATTAGGAAGGTTGTGACGATCTAAATTGATATTGGTTTTCGATGATTTTAGATAAGGCTACGAAGTTGCCATTCATGGAAGCGGAACATTATTTATCCGTGTCTGTAGATTGCGCAACCTGGTTGTCAGCCTCGTCGCGAAACAGCTTCGTGAACATACATTCGAAATGCGAGGCCGCCCAAGAATCATATAGATATGCCGAGTTCAACCATCGGTAATTTATCGCCTAGGGAGCCTGCGAATCCCTCATCCGCTTACGACAATGATATACCCTTGCTGGATGACAGCGATGACGACGACCCTATCGCAGCTGTCAATAGAGACCGAACCCTCGTGGACGATGACCCATTAGCCGATTTCGATGGCGAGTTCCCGTCATTCAAGAGGAAGCAGAAACAGAGTAGTGGAATTGCTGGCACAATGGGGCTTTCCAGCTTTTTGTCGCCGTTCTCACGAAAGAATACAAGCCCTCCAACAACGGTGAGTGCCCCAGGGACGGCGACACCAGGATCTAGCGATGGACCGACACAGAATGGAAATATGGGTGGAGGCGGTTTACCAGTAGACCAGCCAAAGGATGGCAATAGTCTGGAGTGGGTAATCGAAGGACCAGGACACCGAGTGGGATATGAAAACTTGACTGCCATTGATTGGATTTTCGAATATACCAAGGAACGCCAACGGCTACGGGTGTTATACTCGAATACAAGTGGAATAATTGGCTACGCGCGTCAAATGGCCGATGCCAGCCAGATTTGGATTGTTTTAGTTTTGACGGGGATTGCTGTGGGGCTAATCGCAGCTGGGATTGATATAACTAGTGGCTGGCTAGGAGATATAAAAGAAGGATACTGCTCTGCGGGAGCTGATGGGGGCAGGTTTTATTTGAATAAGAGCTTCTGCTGCTGGGGCTATGAGGAATGGTCCAAGTGCCAAGATTGGGTTCCATGGAGTTCGACCCTCCACGTCTCATCTACGGGCGGGAAGTGGTTTATAGAGTACCTTTTCTTCATTTTATATTCGGTAAGTGTGCATTTCCACACCGGTTGCTTATGTCATACTGACTGTTCAGGTTTTGTTTGCGACATGTGCGAGCATGTTGGTGAAGACATATGCAATCTATGCGAAACATAGTGGGATACCCGAAATCAAGACTGTTCTTGGTGGTTTTGTCATTCATAAATTCCTTGGAGGATGGACTCTGCTGGTTAAATCCATCGGCCTGGTATGTGTACACTTTACCTGATATTTTCCGCTGCTAACTGGTATAGTGTCTGGCTGTGGCATCTGGCATGTGGCTTGGCAAGGAAGGGCCTCTCGTACACGTAGCGTGTTGTTGTGCAAACCTGTTCATGAAGTTTTTCTCTAATATAAATAATAACGAAGGTATGCTTTCCCTATGTTCTTAGTGTTATGGCGCTAATTGTGTTTCAGCACGAAAGCGGGAAGTCCTTTCGGCAGCAGCAGCAGCTGGAATATCTGTTGCCTTTGGTACCCCTATCGGCGGGGTCTTGTTCAGTCTTGAGCAACTGTCGTACTATTTCCCAGACAAAACGATGTGGCAAAGCTTCGTTTGCGCGATGGCTGCTGCCGTTACTCTCCAGACTCTTGATCCTTTCCGTTCTGGCAAGCTCGTGCTGTACCAGGTTACGTACACTACAGGATTCCACGGGTTTGAAATGGTGCCATTCGTGATACTGGGAATATTTGGCGGCATCTACGGTGGCCTTTTTATTAAAGCCAATATGGCCGTGGCCTCATGGAAGAAATCCACCACCTGGCTTCCTGGGCCAGTTACTTTGGTTGTCGTGGTCGCCCTTCTCACCGCCCTGATCAACTACCCGAACATCTACATGCGTGCTCAGACGTCAGAATTAGTCTACTCGCTATTTGCAGAATGTTCTGCGATCGTCGATGACCAATTTGGCCTTTGCTTGAAAGGTGCTGCCACGGTTGGCCCTGTCGTTCTTCTTATCCTTGCCGCACTTGTCGGGGTTTTCCTCGCAACTATAACTTTTGGCTTGCACATTCCGGCTGGAATAATCTTGCCATCGATGGCTATTGGGGCTCTGTTTGGACGTGCAGTCGGAATTATTATGGAGATCTGGGTGCGGAACCACCCAGGTTTTTTTGCCTTCGCCGCTTGCGCACCTGATGTTACATGCGTTGTCCCTGGGACATATGCTATCATTGGTGCTGCAGCTGCACTCGGAGGTGTTACTCGAATGACCGTCTCGATTGTTGTCATTATGTTCGAGCTTACAGGTGCCTTGGCCTACGTCTTGCCAATTATGATCGCTGTCATGGTTAGCAAATGGGTTGGCGATGCCTTTGGGAAGCGGGGAATTTATGAGAGCTGGATCCATGTCAATGAGTACCCATTCCTCGACAATTCCGAGCTCTCGATTCCAGACATTCCAGTTAGCGATGTCATGACCAGAATTGACGATCTCATCGTTCTTACTGCAACAGGCCACACGATTGGGTCTTTGAAGGACATATTAGCTGCCAATCCCTACCGCGGATTTCCTGTCATTTCGGATCTGCGCAGCGCCATTCTCCTGGGATATATATCTCGCGGAGAGCTCATCTACAATCTTCACGTCTCCACCCGACATCCCCGCAACCTCCCGCCAGAGTCGGAAGTGTTCTTTGCGCACCAGCCACTTGCTGATCCGCAAAGCACGCTTGATCTCCGGCCTTGGATGGACCAGACACCCATTACTCTCCCGGGCCGGTCAACAATGCAGTTAACGGCGACTTACTTCCAGAAACTTGGCCTCCGATACATTCTCTTCACTAGTCGCGGAGTTTTACAGGGGCTCCTCACAAAGAAGGACATATCATATGTCCTTAATGGAGCGGAAAGTTCTAGGGGAGAGACTGTTGACGGAACCGAATATAACCAGGTGAGAATGGCGAGGGAAGAGGAAGAAGACGATGGGGATGGATTACTGAGAAGTGGGGGTGATGCCGAGGATCCCATTAGCCCTGGGGCGCACGACACGCCATTGTTATAGTACGCATTTGCATTTGTGAAAATATCCATAGAAATCAATTTTGGTTTCTGATTATTAAGATGATTGTGTGCCAGGCTCTAGTGCCTGACTGTGAAAATGTCTGGGTATTGTACACTTGGCATTATACTCCCCAATATGCAGTAAAGTACCCGCTCAAATAAATCCCATCGCTAGTCGCTCCTCTTACTCCACGCTCAAGCTGGGGGCACATCACTCACGGGCGCTATCAATAAGACTGGGGTCGTCGAGTAACGCATTCCGTAATTGCTCTTTATAGTCATCCTCTTCCTTGAGCTTCTTCTCGATCACAGCGTCCACATCACGGGCCCAATACGAGGATACCACCCAGTCAAAAAGTGACGTATCGCAGTGTTCGGCACAGAATATGCGCTGGACATGATCATTGAAGAGCGAATACATACACTTTGGACTGTTCACCGCATGGAAATACCAGAAGCTCCCCATCTCCCAACACTTTCTCATGAGCGTCGATTGGGATAATGGCTGCCCCTTGTCGACCTCGAAAGCCTTGATAAATTCTTCTACCATGTCTCCGAACGCGTCAAGGTATTCGCCCGGGGGCATCCCGTCAAGAGATTGCCCTGATAGCCAGTACGGGGGACCTTGCAACTCGACAGGCAAAGAGCACGTCTAAGTCGATCAAGGAGGTGATTTGGTCATCGACGAAAATGTTGCTCTGGTGCATATCCGTCAAAGTGAATATAAACGGCCCATGCCGAAGATTGCGGTCAACAAAATGCGGAAGGATAGCCCTCATCATAGTAAGAGCGACAAACTGCTGGCAGGCGTCATCTTGGTTATGGACTGAATTTGGCTGTTGGTATATGCGATTATTATGGAAGTTTAGAAAATCGAGAAGTACTGGTCCACTGCTGAATAAGTGTAGTCCCTGCTAATATCCGTGTCAATGTCCTCGTTTTCCAACGCTTGAAGGCGGAGAGTAAGTGGGCGATTTGTAAGGGATATGATGCCTGAGTTATCCAAGGTGAAGGAGCCGATGCGTGGAAGGCGTGGCTTGCCGAGAGAAAGCATAATACGAGCCAGGCCATGAGGTTAGAGCGCTTGTCGCTGTTAAGGCGATGGGTCTCCCAGGAACGAGAAAGCATTGCTCCATCGGTGACATAGCTCATAATGAGATATCCAGTTTTTAGAGTGTCAGGATACCTGCGTCCCACATAATGACCTGGAGTCGGTAGCGATAGCAATGATCGAAGTGCCCTCTTCACCTCCACATAAGTCGAGGAATAAAGGAAAACCTTTCGGGCGTGGTAAACTATACGCGTCGTTAATTTGCTCATAATCAACCACAAGGAATCTTGAGATGTAGGACGTACCGTTTGTCCATCAGTAAAGCCACATCCGAACAACTTTGGTATTGGAATCTCAGGAGAATTCTCTTGAATCCACATGTACGATGCAGCCTCACATCGAAGTTTTTCGTCTACATTTCCAGCATGGTTTGCCTCGCCAATCTTGTATGGCAATGGTATCCTAATAAGCACACGAATGCCTGATACCTCGTCAATACAAACAGGTATGCAGATGTTGAAACTTCCTGATATCCATGTATTTACGTCTCCTATTTGGCATTTAGTCACGTGTATGTGACACAATCCTCTCGATCTCAGACTTTTGTGAGTGTAAGAAAGTCCAAAACGCTAGTTTCTCTTCCGGGGATGCTATCCGCACAAGAATATTGTCATCGTCAACAGCGCCTTCAATTGCGCTGTGCAAGTTAGAAGCTAGTGTTCGTACTAGTGGAGATGGAGGCGGGCCGGAAGGAACAAAGGGGGGGTAGAGGGCGGAGGAGGAGGAGGAGGATATCGTCTATATGAAGACATAGCGCAATGCAGGCAGTAAGGGTAGTGTAGTGTGAACTTGCTGTACGAGTTATTGCCCCTAATCTTGGAACACGACGTTTCGTTGGGGTATGGACGCTCAGGCAGTTTCACTTTGCTTAGTAAGACTTGAACGCGGGATGTCAACTTGCGAGACAAGGAGATGGCAAGTATGGAGACTAGAGGCAGTGGAAGCGGGGTAGGCAAACGGAAATAAGATGCTAAATAACCAGCTACACATGAATTTATGACTTCCTTTATATACATTTCTGTAAATCATATCTCTACGCTCTCTACTACTAATGGCCGCCAGTAGTCGGCAACCCAAGCCCAACCTTAAAGCTATCAAAAATACACCATTGAGAACCCGTCAGGATACTCAACATGGCAATCCTAACCGGCAATCCGTTCCAAAGTCCTCCGAACCCAATCCTGCTATAGATGCGAGAGACGGCCTGTCCCGCGCCCTCACCAGCCTTACGCTCCGAGTTGAGCTTCGAAACCATAACGTCGGCAGGGTGCGAGACAATGGCGCAGCAGATACCGGCAATAACACCTCCCGCAAAGGATACACCGAGCTGCTCTGTCTTGTTAAACGAGGTCTTGGGGCGGTCAAGGTGCGTGTAGATGGACTCGACGGCTCTTTCGAACGTCGCGAATTTAACCATAGTATACGGGATCTGGCGGGCCCAGAGAGGATAGAGACCCTTATAAAGACTGGTGTCTGTTAGCATACCGTAAATTGGAAGGGGACCATAGAGACAGGATAGACATACCCAGCATATCCCTCCTCACGGACAATCTTCGCCCATCCTTCGCGCATGTTGTTCGCGAACGGCGGCAGCGTAGTCTGCATCCTCACCTTAATCGCCTCGAACGGACAGAGCGCCAGATCCGCGATTGCCTCAGCCGTCGCCGACGCGCCGAGGAAAACAACGGTTTTATTCGCATTTGGAAAGAGTTTCTGGCCGTAAAGATACTTGAAGACCTCGTAGAATCCATACTTTCCTGCACCCTGACACGAGTACCCGACGAAGGTAGGCGACCAACCGAAGAAGACTCCGCGTAGTCCGGCCTCCCGGTAGATGGTGCTCCACCCGTTTACATTAGAGGAGTAGATTTTGGGGTCGACTTGGCGCCGGCATTTGACGAGGTCTAGAGGGGTAATTGCTGTGTGGGTTGGACCGCAAGCTGAGAGCAATTAGCTGCTGATGTGATTGAATTGAAGCAAATACGAACCGACAATTCCGCCCAGGCCGCAGGCAAGGAAGTATGAGCCGCTGTACATCTCTATCTTCGGTTTTGGGAGAACCTTCTCCACTGCGGAGGCAGCCATGTTGACGGTTATGTTGTGTATATATTCCAAATAAACAGATATAGCAATGCTCACAATAAAAGACCGAAACGCGAGATTCAATTAAGAGAAATTAGTGAAAGAAAGAGAATGTAAAAGAGAGAGGAGGGAAGATGTGAGCTCCGCCCCCGATAAGGTTAGTGGTACACGGCAACTTTACCGAGATACAGCACACATACGTCATTACCCGCAACCGTGCCCCAGAGCTTGTTTTTGCCAAGATTAATCAATCGGAATGGGATTTTGAAAGGCGATGGAAGCTTAACTATACAGCTAGATTTTATATTTTATTGAACTACATTATTGCACATTTTATTTTGAGGTGATTATGAATCCTGAGTTTGATGAAGACTGATGAATTGCTATAACTATTTCTCACAAGTCCCCAACCGGCACATTTCGAACCCGTGGCCTGGTCCGGGGGAGCCGATAACTAAGGATAGGGGACGCTTGCGAAGATATCGCATCCGCTACACCCGTTCTCCACTGTCTTATCCCTTGGCCCCCAAAACCGTAGCAGTATAAACCGCGTGGCAATGTAGCATCTTTCACATACGACCATTGAACTTCTGTATCACCTAGAACAAGACGTTTTCACAACTTGTCAAAGACATCAACAATAGCTTTCGCGGTAGAAACCGAGCTCTGTGGGTTTTGACCAGTAATCAGGTGGCCATCAACAATGTGGAAGTCGTCCCAGACACCAGAACCTCTCTCATCTGAGAATAAAAGTTAAAATCATGTAGCGTAATCATGGGGAAAATTAATTCAAACTTACATGTGGCTCCAACCCTCTTAGCAAGATCCTCTACCAACTCGACATTCCAGCTCTTGATGGTATCCTCAAGCCCCATATCGCGCTCGGCCTCAGTGGTGAAGCCAGTGATCTTCTTTCGCTTGATAAGATGCTCCTTGGTCGCCGGATCAATCAGGTTGGCAAAGATAGCCGGTCCATGACACACCGACGAGACAATACCTCCGTTGGCCCAAACTTGTGCCGCGATGTTTTGCAGGCTCTTGGCAGTTGGGTAATCGATCAGAGAAGCATGGCCAGCTGAGGCGAAGAAGACTCCGTACTTCGAGGGGTCCAATTCGGACGCCTTGGGCATGTTATCGAGCTTCTTGCGGAACTCGCTGTTGGTGTCTTTCCAGGTCTCGAGGTCCTTGCCGTTCAGGAAGTCGGGCTGCTCAGAGAGCCAATCCGCGGTGTATTTGCCAGTCTCCGATGCGAGGTCGACCTCGAAGCCGGCCGCGGTGAGGACATTGTAAGGGTGTAGCGCTTCGGCGATGAAGAGACCAGTGACATGCTTGCTCTCCATGAGCAAAGCGTTGGCGGAAGTGACCGCGATGAGGGCACGGCGAGGAGGAGACATTTTTATTGTTTAGGTGGTGATGATATGGGATTGGATGGAAATGGTGAATTGATGCTCGGGAGCTGGAGTGTTTTGATTATTGCTAGAGTGTTTTGATTGTTGCTGGAGGAGCTGATTGTAGGTTGTTTGATGATGAAAAATGTTCAAATTCATCTAGGACATAAAGACCATACTTCTATACAGAATTCATCATTATGATTAATGGATCGTCTTTTGGAGACGCAAGAGTGATGACATGACGTAGACGCTCGCTATCAGGGTTAGCAATAAAACTCATTAAACTCATCCTACTCATGAGTTGGCGAGTAACTCAAACTCATTATGAGTTTGAGTACAGACTCAATTCATGAGTTTGAGTTCTGCGTTCTCAACTCATGAGTGTTGGGAATCGGGCCGGAGGTTGGAGAAAACTCTGTGTTTGTGGTTCTAGAAAACCAGAGAATCTCCACCGTGGGCCCGAGCTGTCCCATGGCTCTCACCGAACTAGGGGACTCAACCATGGTTCTCACAATTCTGGTGAAAACTCTGCAGCGGAAGGGGCGGCTTACTCGGAAGCCTCGACAAAGGCACCACACGATTTGTGCGCAGTGACAATCTTTCGGTCCTTCCTACAACAATGAGTTAGATGAGTAGAAGTGTTGGAACTACGTTCCTAGATGTACGCTGCACAGTGTAGCTTGTATACTGGCTATATGTATATATAGGGCTTCGCACCCATAGTTTACTCAATCAAGTCGTCAAACTCCAATTATGTGTTCTACAATGTTGGAACGGGAAGTACCGTGGTACGGGATCACACACAAATCGTGTGGTTTCTCCAGTGGTCGGGACTTCTCACGGGCGCAACGGGGCAGGAGTTCTCACACAGTATATAGCTTACTATAGCAAAATAAGATCGATTGATTAACTACACTATCTAATGGGCCTACGTGGCTATTTGTAGGCCTTTCGGAGGTTCTGCTTCGACCCCCCAAAAGCCCCCTATTCTGGTGGCTTCAGAGCTGAAACCCCAGTTGAGACTGTGGTGGTTTCCAGCACCGGTCGGAGATCCTGGGACGCCGTAGTGGGATTCTGCCATTATAGGGCCAAATACCACCGTATCCCAGCGCCCACGGCCTACTCTCCAACAAGAAGTTATGGGATTAGAAGTCACGTGAACTAAAAATCTTATAAGAAATGAAATGAATAACGTGGTTTATCAGTAAGTCGGACATATCAGTACCTCGGACACTTTTCCCGAATTTCCCTACCCTCTAACTTCACAACGCGTTTTTTCCACCTTTTATTATGTCAGTGATTACCCAAGAAGCAAAAATCATTCTAGCTATCGAGGCTATCCGAACATCAAAAAATCTAAGTCGTCGGAAGGCTGCTAAGCTCTATGAAGTACCTCATTCTACACTCTGCGACAGAATGAACGGCCGAACTACTGTCTACGAACGCCGGCCTGCAATGATGAAATTAACTATACTAGAAGAGGAGGTGGTTATTCGGAATATACTTGATATGGATTCAAGAGGATTTGCACCCCGGCTTGCTGGTGTAGAAGATATGGCAAATTTTATACTCGAATCGCGTGGAGGGAGGCGCGTCGGGAAGCTCTGGGCCCACCGATTTGTACAACGACGTCCAGAATTAAAGACGCGTTTTAATCGCGTTTACGACTTCCAAAGGGCCTTGTGCGAAGATCCTGAACTAATTGGCGCGTGGTTTCGACTAGTGGAAAATATGAGGGCAAAATATGGTGTTTTGGACTGCGACTTCTATAACTTTGACGAAACTGGGTTTATGATGGGTGTGATTTGCCCTGCAATGGTTGTTACCCGTGCAGATTGACTTGGCAGAGGTAAGGCAGTTCAGCCAGGGAATCGGGAATGGGCTACAGCGATTGCTTGTATCAACAGTGACGGCTGGAGTATTCCTCCATTTTTGGTAGTTAAAGGCAAGAATCATCTTGCAAATTGGTATACAGACGGCGGCCTTCCACACAACTGGGTTGTTAAACCGACAAGCAATGGATGGACAAACAATGAGACGGGTCTAGAATGGTTGAAACACTTCGACAAACATACTGCTGTTCGTGCAAGGGGTCCATATCGAATGCTGGTGTTAGACGGGCACAAGAGTCATGAATCGGCCGAGTTCCAAGAGTACTGCAAGGCACACAACATTATAACTCTTGGACTACCTCCCCACTCATCTCATTTAACTCAGCCACTTGATGTCGGGTGCTTTAGTGTGTTGAAGCGGGCATATGGTCGGCAGATTGAGACCTTCATTAAGGCTCATATCAACCACATTACCAAGGTCGAGTTCTTTCTCACCTTTAGAGCAGCATATCTGGAATCCATGACAGCCCAAAACGCCCAGTCCGGGTTCCGCGGAGCTGGCTTAGTGCCTTTCGACCCGCAAGCAGTGCTTTCAAAGCTTGACGTGAGGTTACGGACTCCAACTCCCTCTAGACCCTCTACTGCCAACACCAACCCTTGGGTCTCCCAGACCCCTTCCAACCCAACTGAAGCTCTTTCACAAACAACCCTCGTTCAAAATCAAATTGCCCGTCACCAAGGAAGCTCGCCAACTCCACTCTTCAGGACAGTTATTGCATTGGCAAAGGGTACGGAGCGACTAGCACATGAGAACACCCTTCTGTCTGCTGAGGTACGTACCCTTCGAGCAGCCAACGAAGCCCTTAGCAAACGCCGCAGGGCTAAAAAGGCTCGTGTCCGTGAAGGAGGTGCACTTATAGTAGAGGATGCACAGGCTATTATCGCACAGAAGGATGTGGATGAGCAGGTACGACGCGACGTACGTGCGGTTGGGGGTAGTCGCAAGGAGGGGCAACCGTCTAGGCGATGCTGTGGGATCTGTGGAAAAGCTGGTCATAATGCGCGAACTTGTCAAGAAGCTATAGATATGTCTAGTTCATCTGATTCCGCTTAGTTATAGTTAATTTAATATGTTATGGTTGATTTATTGATATTCAAAGTAGAATGCCAATGAAAAGTGTCCGAGGTACTGATATGTCTGACGTACTGATAAACCACGTTATTCTATAACTAGGTACTAATCGTTGGTTCTCAAACCACCGCCTGGAGGCGGTTGGCGAAAGCGAACTGGGACGCGAAAGCGATTGTGGGACACTTCGGGAGCGGACTCACGACGCGACACGACCGACCATGAACATGACCGACAACGAGCACAACTACAACCACAACTATGCCGGTAGTTGAAGTAAATAAAAATGAAGCTCTTTTAAATGCCATTGAATTTTTAAATGAAAACCCAACAGAGAAGAGTGCTACAGTAGCACGGATGTACAGAGTAAACCCAAGTACGCTCCGGACTATACGACTACGACAACGACGCGCATCACCACAACGCACCGCTGTGCCACGCGGAGGCCAGAACAGAGTACTGTCTGATGTACAAGTTACAGCTATACAAAGATACATCCAACGCTCGTACGAAAATGGGTACGGTGCAACTAAGCCTATGGTGTTCAGTGCCATCTGCCAACTACGTGCAGCAGAAACTCCAACACGTGCACCACCATCACAACGGTGGTTCCAGACATGGATTAAGACACAACAACACAACTTCCATACAATAAAAACCCGGCCAATTGAAGCAGCACGGGTTGCATCTCATGAAGTATCAGCTATTAAAGAATGGTTTTATGAATTTAAAGATGTGTGTAAT